GCCCCCCCCCCCCCCCCTCCCCCCCCCCCCCCACCCCCCAAGCCAACTATTTATGACTGTTCTATTACCTCGCAGAATACAACATAATTCTCTAGCCTTCTGAATAAATTACAACGGAAAGAGAAATAAAGTTAGATTTCGGAAGCGTTTTCTTCTTTTTAACTCGTGTGGTGTTTAAGTCGTACATTTCTTTCACCAATACCACATTCTCTGCGTGCATAAAGGACGGGGAGGGGCAATCTTGAACGGTTTTCTTCCATGGGAATGAGAGCTGGAATCACTTATCCCAGCCTTAAGCTTAGAATTGCTTAGAATTTTAAGCAATTTTAGCGGGTAATCTAATCTCCTTACAAGGTGTAAATTGCGCACAATTACTCTTTGCAAGTATGACAAACAGTGGTGCAAATCACTAGCTAGAATCGCGTATTTCATCACTTCGATTCGCCTCTTCTTCACCTTATCGTCAATGCCAAGTATCAAACAATTTAAAACTCTCATCATTAACATCTCATTTTACAAGTAATTGTGTTTAACATTTTATTAAATATGTCACAAAAAATTTCATCATCATACCTCGGGCGAGACTTGCTGCTTTCAATTATATTAAATGTTAATCGACATGGTTTTGGTTGGAACCCCTCCGAGAGCGTATTCATCTTCGGAAAGCTTTCATAAAGAAGTACTGTATGAGAAACTACTGTGCAACCCCATTGACATTCTGCAGCCTCTAATACAAAAAACAATAGAACTGAAGAAACCACTAAAAACTGTAAATAAACCAGAAACCCTATCTTTTGCCCAAAACCCATTAGTAGACAACGAGGTACAATTTTACTTGCAAATTCTTGTCCATTCCATGAAAGCAGATTCCCCACGAGGTCAAATGCGATTATTTGTCCTTGAGACAATATAAACTGTCCTGCTGATCAATGGTTTCTTGTCTTCACTGACACGGGTCATGCCTAGAAAACCAAGCAAACGTTGCAGGTGTTTACTCTTTCCTATTCTCTTTCTTCACGGCAGCGGAACAAAGTAGATCTGGATTCGAAGGAGAAATAGAGGCCATTAAAGTAGCTATAGGCCAATTGTGCTGCTTCCGGGATACTAAATTCACTAACGCAGTACTGCCGATTGGAAACAGAACCACTCAAAACAGCTGAGATACACGAATGCAAAAAAACTATAAACAATAGTTCTTTCATGGGTCCCTGAACACTGGCATTATTGGCAATGAGTCCGTCGATACATTTGCTAAGAAGGGGATCACGTTTGGCAAGCTATAGACCGGCCAATAGCTTTCCACACAATGAAAAAATTCAAAACTTCAAGAAGCAACGAACTTAAAGCCCGAGCAAAGAAGAAGAAATGGACAGCGGCACTCTCCCACATAGCCGACTGGCCGGGAATCGAATCTGTAGCAGAATTTAGACTGCACAACGGGCATGATTGCCGCCTGGCGAAGCACCTTCACAGAATATGAGTAATCGCCCAACCAACATGCTCCCTATGTGACGTACCGGAGGAAATGGAGGCAGACAATGATAAAAACCCAGTGATACTGGGAAGCCAGAAGTCAACTAAAGGAACAATGATAACTACCATTTATTTATAGCAAATGACAGGCTTTATCATACTTATCGTTGGTCCTTTAATTGACTTCTGGTTTCACAGATTCGTGGGGGGACATCAAAGTCACAAAAAGTCGAGGGTGGAGTGGGAGCGGAAGAGCGATTCACAGATATAAGGGAGACAGGCACAAAAGTAGAGAAAAGGTAAGGTGAGTACTGTAATAGTGGTGGAAAATGACATAGAGTGGGGTCATGGTAGTTTGAAGACAAATGCCAATTGCCTGTCTATAGGCTATGCGTAGGGCGCATTACATGGAGGTAAGTCTTCGCACACTCCATGGTACCTACCATAAAGCAGGATTCCAGTTTAATTGAGTTAAAATATTATATTAGTTCTGACCTCAAAATTTGTCATTTGGAGAATTGAAAATTACCAGCTATTTTGAGATGCAACTTGTCTTAATTCTGACCTTACATTTGGATGGTATGTTGTCAAGGTTGGTCTAACGACATGCTTGAACTTGTAAATCTTTGTTCTATTTAAAGTTATGACATTTGTCTGAGAACTTTTCGACTCACCCCTGTATCTAGCTTAGTATGGTGGACAACTTCAGGATGCTCTAATCGTGGAAGACTGAAACTCAACATTCGGGGAAAGGTTGAGGCACCGGCACTTTAGGACCCATGGTCCTTCTAAAGTGGACCTTGAGGTCGCACCAGGCTCCACTGAGAGGACAATAGCAGCCTTGAAGTTGGATAGGGGCAGTTTATTGTATCCTAGACGGTGATAACAAAAATAATGGAAAAAAGCTTTAAATAATGAAATATTTAATAGAATACTAAAACCTCCAATTTTATTTCGTATTTGCTTTTGTTTTGCAAGTTCTTGTTAATGCCATTGTCACTATTCTCTTTTTTTAGATACGCACTACTAGCGGGTAGTGGTTTTCGCAGTTGTCCACGTATCAAATGCGAACACCCAGATTGTGAGCACGCGGAATTCTGTTACAAGTGTCACTCCCCCTGGAATCCGAATCATGTCTGCAAGGGCAGCGGTCACGGTTCCACCGCTGCAACAGAAGGCGGTTCTAGCAGTAACGCAGGAACTGCTGGCAACTTTTTTGCTGGTGACAACCCCCGATCTCTACTCTCACAACTACGACAACTCTTTCGATTTCCTTCTGCGCCTGTTGTCACGACTGACACTGCGGGTGGCGCAACTACTAATAGTCGACGAAGACGAAGACCCACCGAGGATGTTGAAGGCGGCACTTGGTCAGAGTTGACCGCTACCACTGCGTCCACACGCAAGTTTTCTACTACTGCCATGCCTCTTCAAGTTGACGATAACACTGAACTGGGAACTAATACTGATGACGAGATTGAGGCAAATGTATTTGCAAATAAGGAGTGAGTATTTAATTCTTATTCATTTGATTTCTTTAAGACTTGTCCTCTATTATTCGACTTCTGGGAATGTGATGCGCTAGATTTAAGGATGGGTGGAGGAAACGGGGTTAATTCTTCACTTCATGAGCGCTTATCGTTTATTCGGCCTTTTAAGAAACTCATTCTATACCTCCTATTTTGTGGTAGAAGTAATCCCTGTGGTTAGCTCTACATATTAACCAAAAATATCGCACAACATTTGACTGATATTAATTTGATACGCGTAGATAAAGTTTCATCTTTACGTGTTTGCGTTTGTTTGAACTTAGTTCAATCGACAACTGTAGAGAATAGTGATTATTGGGTTTTGAACCAGAGGGCACCTGGTAGAGTTGAGGACATGACGATGACACAAGGTTGATGGTGCAGATACAATGATCTTTGCGCTCTCTCGTTCTACTTCTCCATTATTCGTCTTTCTAATGAGTTTCCATTGTCATTGCAAAATATTATTCGGTTACTTTCTGATTTGGAAATAGTGATTGGTTGTTGCGATAACCTCAACCCTGGATCCTACAAGTTTGTATCCCTTAAATAAATTGTCGCCTAACATTCAGTTTTGGTGTCAACTTCAATGAATTAGATTCACCTACCTTCTGGAGCACATTTGGATCATTGTGCTGTTCTTTTGCAAACTCTTGTTTCCCTCATAGTACTGAGAGAATGTCTACTATTGTGCAGTTGCGTTAATATGTGACCTTCAATTTTGCAGATTTTGAATTGGAATTATACTTGGTATATGTTGGTTAAGTTGTTCTTTCATATATATATATATATATATATATATATATATATATATATATATATATATATTTCCACCATCATCTGCAATTCCCATTTGTTAAAATGGTTGTTTCGTCTACTATCGTTTATTCTTTTTATCTAATGTAACAATTTAGTGTAAGAAGAACACATTCTTTGGTATGATGATGGGAGAGTTTTTGCGTCGGAATTCAAATTCCCTTTTCTATTTACCTATGCGTTTCACGTATTATTGTACTGTTGACCATGAGCTTGAATCTCTGTGATACTTCTTTATCATTAACCGAGGGTCTTATTCAAAATTCGGTTTTAAATTTTTCAGTTGTCTTGATTTTGGCACAAGCCTTTGATTAGGTTGGCATCTCCTTTGAAACAGAGTATTTGAATTGCAGGGTCTCAAATGTGTCCCTTTGAATGCGTCTCTTCAATCTCTCCAGTTTGTTGAAGTTGACTTATCGGGCGCTTTTGGTTCGTTTCTAGTTAATTTCAACTTGCCAGCCATCGGTGTGTTCTTTTCTATTCTGTCAAAGTGTCTAGTTTTAATCTTGGAACTGTTGGTACTTCTATTTACGAATGACCTTTCAATATTGACACGTCATTCTTACAATCGAAAGGCCTACGCACAACACTGTTTCGGAGTTTTAGTCTTCACTTTTTCATTATAAATTCAATTTTTCAACGGATTGCCTCTCATAAAAGTAATTTTGATAAATCTGACACTTAAAAATAATAACTCCTTAAGTGAAGAGTATTTTGATAGGCAATTCCTGATATGCATTTTCTTCTACAGACAATATAGAACTAATTAGGCAATTTTTCATTAAAATACTACATCTCTATAAATTTCATCAATGAACAACGAGCTCCAATTGGACTGTTCATTTATCACTCCATGGACTAATCTTCAACAAGAGTGAAAGTTTTAAGGATGATGTAATCCCAACTATACAAGCTCTAACGCACTCTCTGTCAAAACACTTATTGTGATATCTCATTCTTCATTCTCCAACAAGCAATATCTTTGAAGCAATTTGAACCCGGCTTTTCTAATTATCCATCAGCCGGTGTATAGAATACTATGGGCAAGCATCTGGTTAATACGTACTTTAGAGTTGGCCAGATTGTTGATCTACCTAATTTTCCCAAAGTAGGGGTTTTTATACAATCGCCGTTGAGTGGATGGGGCGGGGGCGGGGAGGGGG